GGGGGGGGGGGGGAGTTTAAAAATCTCTATGATTTTTTTGTTTGTTTTGTTTAATGGAAACAAATGAAATAAGATTTGATATTTCAACAAAATTATTTTAACTTTGTAGGTAATGCTGGATTTAATTCCATTTATTGACTTGATAAAGTAGACTAACATTATTTTTCTTTATATTTGCGTGGGTAGGTGGAATGAATAAAATAATATGGACAGCAAAACCATTAATTTTCCTTGAAAAAGGAAATTTTTCTAAAAGGAGCTACAAAAGCTGTAGTTTTCACGAGCACAAGTGGCCATAGTAAAATATTACTGCAAATTGAATGAAAAAACCCATTGTATTAATATGGAGGATGAAGGTCTACTTTATCTATACAGAAGAAAAAAAGTATCTTAATGACACATTCAGAAATTCTTTCAATATAGTGAAGTTTTCTTAAAAGTTACTTCATATAAAAATCCTGTCGTTTACTCCAGTTAATTCTTTTTGAAACTCATGAAATTACATAGTCTTAGAAAGGTAAAAATAAATGTGATCTGATGGACCAAGAATATTTCTTACTTTTTTATGAGAAGAGAAGCTGCTGGCTCTTACCTTAGCGTAATACCCGTTTCTGGCTAGACAACACCATTACGTGGCTTTGGTATAATAAAACTAAGAGACAAGTGGTCTAAAATGTGTAGTCAGAATATTACTAAATGTTAAAGTGTGATCTCAGTGATCTTTACATACGCGTGTTTGTGCAGCGTGCGTAGAAACTTGTATTCAGTTTTTCTGATGACAAAATTTAAGTATGTTGTAATGTGTTTCTTTGGTTTTGAAGATACAGTTAAACCAGTTTGCTTTAAAATATGGTAAATTCTACAGTTTTTCTTAGGAATACTGTAATGTGATAAATTGTTACCTTCACAAGTCTTTCTGAACTTTTATTTTAAGGGTCAAGATGGATAGCACAGATGAACCTCAGAAAAAAATCTTTAAAGCGCGAAAAACAATGAGAGTAAGTGATCGACAACAACTTGAAGCTGTTTATAAGGTTAAAGAGGAGCTGTTGAAGACAACTGAAGTTAAACTGTTAAACGGAAAACATGAGAATGGAGATTCTGATTTAAATTCACCTTTAAGCAATACAGACTCTGTGGAGATCAGGAGGGAAGTAAATGGCGTAGTGGACTTGTGTGTTAACTCTGAAGAAGGACGAACGGCTTCTGATGAAATTAATGAAGCCAAAAGCCCTGAAAGTCGGGCAGGGAACGTAGTCAATGACATGGAATCCAAACTTCTAGCACAGTCTCCAGACAATGTTACTCCTGAGCAAGATAAAGATCCTGATACTGCTTTAGCTTGTGAGGCTGACAGTGGTGTGCTTGGTAGCAATAAAGATAACTTCCATGAAGAAAATAATACAAAAGATCATTTGGACCAAAGAGAGAGTGAGATCCCATCAGAAGGTGAAAGTAAATCAATATGTGATATTAGTGAGTCTTCTGAAGAGAAGAGGGAAACAAATGACTTAACTGTTAATTCCAGTTCACCTGGTGAGGAAAAGAGGACTGAGGAAGTAACTGCTGAAGATGCTGTTGGAGAAGAAACCATCTCTAGCAGTATGGAAGCTGACCAGGAACCAAAGGACAAACAAGACAGCACTGCAGGTCTTTCAGAAACCAGTGTTCAGAAGACAATAGATGAGCCAAGTGGGAGTATCTTGGACAATACTGACTGTATGGAAACAGATGAAATTATTCCAATTTTGGAAAAACTAGCTCCTGCTGAAGATGAATTGAGCTGTTTTTCTAAAAGTTCTCTGCTTCCAGCGGATGACACAATTCCAGATCTAGAAGAGAAAATGGACAGCTGTTTGGGCTCACCATCCAAGCAGGAAAGCAATGAAAGTCTTCCAAAAGAGGCTTTCTTAGTACTGTCTGATGAAGAGGATCCCTGTGATGAGAAGGAGGAACATGCTGAAGTGATATTACCAAACAAGACAAGTCTTCCAGGTAAGACCTTTCTAAACTGGTAGTCTTGATCTAAGTCTGGGATTTTTTTCATTTTTGAGAATGACACACTTTTGACATGTTTCTAAGTCAAAAAGAGAGTTATTCCCACCAATTCTGTGTTATGTAGTCTTACATTTTTCACAGATGGAATTTGAGACCCAGAAAAAAATGAAAGTAACATCAAAAATGTCATCATTGATATCTGGTTTATTTTGTTTTTTTCTCCCCATACTCTTTGCAAACTGTGGGGTTGTGAGTGGAAGAAAAGGAAATAAGAGTAATTGTTAGACGTGGAACAGAAAGATTTGTGTGAAGAAAAATGTATTTATATACTGTTCTTGAGGATGGATTTCAACTTTCTTTAATGTGCAAATAAATAGTAAAAATGAAAATATGCTGGCAATCCAGGCATGTCACAAGTCCCATTTGTTTCAAATATTTAATTTTTTTTTTTTACCAAAAGACAGTATTGGAAAGATTTCATGAAAAACAGAAGTAATGTATGGTTTTCACGCCATACTGCTTTTATTCATTTAACTCGTAGTGGTTTTTATCTGATGACTCTGCCAACTGATTAACATTTGAAAGCATTAAGTATAGGAAGCTGGTACTGTACTCTCTTCATGTAGTTAGAAGATTTATGTTAAAGTGAATGGATGTTCTCTATAGTCTATTATTGTCATACAGTTTTGTAAGCTTTTTTTTTCTTGACATAGGGCACTCGTCATCCTATTGCACTTCTGAAAATAAAATAGATGAATAATTTAGAGTAAGTTGACACTGGGCTTTTATCTGTACTTAAGAAAACTGTTGTTTCAAATGATTTTGGGGTGGGGTTTTTTTGTTTGGTCTTTTTTTCCCCGATTTTATACCTTTTTATGAAATTACGTCCATGCTAACCCAAACGTGTTCAAACATGCTTGATTGGGTAGGAATTCCATGGATTAAACCACATTCAGGTGTCTTTTAGTCTCTCTGTAGTTAGCAACTAGTTTTTTAACTCTTGTGTCAGTAATGATGAAACTGTCTTTCACGAATGTGTGATGGTATTGAGTCTTCAGTCTCTAAACAACTAGAGAAAGGGAGGTAAGAATAGGTCTCTTCAACCATGTTTCGGATTCTTCCTTCTTTTCTGGTATTCAGATTTATTCCAGTTAAACACAGAAAAGGTAGGCTTCGTAGTTTCTTCTAAGGATCTTATTTAGGTGTTAGGTGTTGTACTGAGATTGCAAAAGTGATTCCATTCTTGTGCAATTAAAGTCTTCCAGAAACAATTTGGAGGTGGGGGGTGGCAGAGAGAAAGAATATTGTGTGTACTTGTGTCAAGATTGTAGTGTGTAGAGTCCCTTTTATCAAATGTACATTACAAACAAATTGATGATCATAGTTCTTACTGCAGTTTAAGTGTTCTTTCATTAGAGATTAGTGAAATTAGGATATCAGGGTTACATTTTTCATCTTGCATAATGAGAAAACACACTGTGGTCATAGTGGAGTTTTTGCTCTGGAGCAAAAAGCCCGAAGTGAATATTAAAAATTGGACTATAGTCTGCAGAAGTCTAAAAAGACTGTGTCCAGCAGTATTTTTTTTCAGGTTTATGACTTTTACAGTTGCCTGGCTACATCTGGGACTGTTTCGTGAAGTGAAAACTGGCTACCGTGAAGTATATTCTGTCCTTAACCAGCAGTCACCTGTTAATTTCTGCATTCTATGCTTCATAAAGCTTGCCTGTCAAGTTGCAGAGAAGGAAATTTAGATTTTTCTGAATAGTACATTCTGCATGAAATATTTAAATCAAGTCTCTTTGGGACCTGTTTTGTCCTAGATATAACATGGTATTAATACGAAAAATTTGCAGTCCTTTTACCAATTTCAGTCTTTGAATACAAAGATAACAGCAGAGAGGTTGCAGGGGCAGGAAACAGCTGTGTGAGAAAACAGGTAGAGTTATCTTAGAAAAAGATTAACATTTGGAAAAGGTCTGTGAGAATTAAATTTGTGGAGACAGTATGGAGATCATTTGAAGATGCTATATTGGAGACACAGGTGCAAACTGCTTAGTTAAAAAGTTCAGTTTTCAAAAAGCCTGGACAAAAACCAGCATGGCTAAACAATGTTGCAAATGGTCCTGGAAGACTTTCTTCAAATGGCCAGATTAGTAGAATCGTTTTATCAAGTAGTATTAGTAAATACAATACCTATGTTGGCACTTAAGATTTTTGTAATGGAAGATCATACATTAAAAAACCTTGGAGCTCTTCAGGTAAGTAAACAAGCACATGACAAAGACGACCTGATTTGAATTTGAATTTGTATTTGAATTCTTTTGGATAGCCAAACACAAAATGCTTTCCTACCAAGAACTTTTGGAAACTGAACTGTCTTCAGGTAAGATGGAAAGTCCTATGGAGGAAATAATCATTTGAAGAATGGAAAGTAAATCTACAGTAACCTGTTTCAGAGACTGTGCTGTGTGACAGAATTAATGATTTCCCTAAAATGAGGGGTCACTAGCAAGATAACAGTTTGCTGGTCATACTATGAAAAGCTGTAGAAGAATCTTGCAATGCGGAATGACTGGTGCATAAAAATGGCAGATGAGACTCACTGTGGTTAACTACAAAGTGGTACAGATGAGTATGAAAATGTTCATAACTTAAAAGGAAGATGGAAGTGACTCACCACTCAAGAACAATTTTCTAGGATTATAGTTGGTAATTTTGTGAAAACATTGAAACAATAGCAGTTGAAGAAAGCAAATAAAGAATGCTGGGAATAAATTAAGAAATGGAGGAAAATTTCACTATGGAACACCAAGCTCTTAAATGTTTTGCATAATTCTATTTCCTTCTCCCTCCCCACATCAAAGAAGATATCAGAGAACTGGAAAAGGTGGATGAAAGAGCAACAGGGTAGATGATGGAATTGCAGAGTAATTTTAATTCAGCCCTCTGATGGTCTTTATTCCAGCCTCCTATTCAGAGCAGGTCCAGTTACATCAGATGGCTCAGGGACCTTGGCCGTTCACTTTTGTGCATCTGTAAGGGTAGGTTAATATTTAACCAACCTCAACAGTGAAAATCTTTCTGCTTAATTGGCATCTTTAGTGTTCCAACTTGTATCCATTGTGTCCTGTCCTGTTGCTGTGCACCTTAAAAAGTAGTGGCTCCATCTTCTCTCTGCCTTCCCATTATGTTACGGAAGGCTGCCTGCTTGCAGAACTCTTGTTCAACTTTGTCAGATGGATTCAGTCCCTTCTCAGTAATTCTTAGTATCAGAGATTACCACAGTGAAAGGTGTGAAAACCTTGCCTGCAACATCTGTCATTCAGCCAGGTGGTGTTCTTCTGGAGGCACGCACTCTTTCTAGAGCTATTTTTTTTGGTCCCAGTTCATGGGGAGGGTTGGTGATAATGCCATCTTGAGGCTTTCTGCCCTTTGCCCTTTTCTGCAGAGATTCATTGCTACTCTTGGTGTGCTTAGAACTGCTTCTGGTAGTACTACTGGTGCCCTTGTGGATAAGCAGCAACAGGTAATAGGCTGAAAACCAGATGAGCCTTAGTAGGCTCTTTGCAGCACTGGCAGTGCAGGCCCTCAGTAAGCAGCTAATATCTTGAGGCATCAGGTCAGGTTGTTAGGTGGGTGTCTGCTGTGGGAGATATATGACTGTCACCAGTCTCTCCTATTTGTTACTATTTTGAATATAGGCTCTATCTGTCACTCCTTCTGTGCACTGCGGGGCTTGGATTTTTGTCTGTGCAGGGTTTATCCCCTCTTTGACCATTCTACACAGTCGGCTCATCTCCTACAGCTTCTTCACTTTCTGAGACAGAACTTTTAGACAAGGATGAACTGTATTTTAGAGTAAGATCTTTCAGCCAGAAAGAAGTGATGGAGGAGAGATGTGACAAAGATCCCTGGTAAGTGGCATGAAGAATGGATATTTGCTGTCTTGGAAGAAAAGAAAAAAGTGAGAGGCAGGATCAAAGGATGGAAGAAGAGATGGTTCGCTATGTGGAGGACTATGGAGCTACTTGCTAGCAACACCATGACTACTAAAAGTTTACCTACATTCATCTTCTGTGGAAGAAGATTTTTTTTGAGGGCGCAGAAACCATAAGGCTCTGGAGATCTTCCACCAGCAATTATTCGGAAAGCTGGGGAAGTTTTTTGGGAAGTTTCTCTCCTCCTTGTATTCTTCCCTTCTTGATTATCTGCTGTTGGCATGAAAGTGTTGGAGACAGGATCCTGGATTAAGTGAACTGTTGGGTTTACCTAATGCACCTGTTGCTATCTTCTTTCTCCTACCTGATTGGTGTACTCTCAAGTTTGATGAGGTGAGGATGTCTACCAAAGCGAATCTGAAGTCTTTCTTTCTCAGAATTGCTGGCACTTTGAGTGTTTTCTAGACATCTTGATTCTAGGCTTCTGTACAGGAGTGGCATTTCATGCCCTCTGGGGATAATTTGAAAGTGATCTTGTTACTGATCTTTGTTAAGGGAGTCTGAAGTCAAGCAGCACACGCAGGTGCAACCTTTTAAGAATAAAGAGTGCAGTTAACATTTACAAGAATACAGCTTGTCTTCTAGACAGTAGTGTTTGAAGAGATCTTCAGAGCATGTGAATGGCAGGTAAACAATTAAGCATGAACTTTTGTTCCTCTGTTGTGATAGAACTAGCTGTCAAAATTCTTGAATTCACAAAAAGGAAAATGTTACACTTAAATGGCACTGATGAAACCACTTTTCTGCCGTACTATTTCTTTTTCTGTTTTTTCCTTCAAAGAGGGATAAGGGAAGGCTTTCAGAGAGTTGCTGTAAAAAAAATATTTCACTGTTTGGGAAACAAGCTATACTGGAAAGCTTAAAAGAACATAAGTTTTATTCATATAATAGAAGATTAGGGAGGTCTATAATATCTGCAAAGAGGAGTTGAATATATGGTGGAAAGCAGTTTCTTAAATGTAGCAGACAAAAACACAACTGCATTTTAGATCTGCTGGATTTTGCAAGCAGATACCAGGCACGCTTCTGTCTGAGAGACTTTGGAGGACTGATTTATGGATGTTTGATTCATCAGTTGTAATCTTTAAGTTCTTTATGGATATTTTTTTCCAACTAAAAATATGGTAATAAATAGCTAAAGAAGAGGATATTGTGCTTTGTGTTTGAATCACTTAATTTTTTCTATCTATTTATTTTATGATAGGCAGTGGGAGTTGTGACTAAGTAATAGAGTAGTTCAGGTTGGGAGGGATCTCAGGAGGTCTGTAGTCCAGTCTCCTGCTCAAAGTAGGGTCAGCTGTGAGATTAGACAAGGTGGCTCAGAACTTTATCCAGTTAGGTCTTGAAAACTTCCACTGGTGAAGACTGGACAACCCCTCTTGGCAACTTGTTCCATTGAGTCTCTTCATGTTGGAAATGTTTTTCTTTCTATCAGTTGGATAGAAAGAAATCTATCTTGTTTCTGCTTATATGTGTTGTCCCTTACCATTGCCATGGACTTTTACATTAAGTCTGGCTCCATTTTCTCAAAAGCCACCTTACAGGTATTGGAAAGCTGGTTATAAGTCCCTATTAGGTTTTATCTTCTCCATGCTGAACAAGCCTATCTCCCTCAGCCTCTCTTACAGGTCATGTTTTCCAGCCCCTTAGCAGTCTTTTGCTCCTTACCAAGAGACGGCAATAATGATTGTCAAGTAAAGGGCAATAACCATTTCTTATGATATACTGGCTCTGTTCCTCTAAACATAGTTCAGGATGCTGTGGACCTCCTCTGCTGCTGGGGCATGCTGTGTTGGCTCATGCTTTGCTTGCTGTCTGTGTGAGTCTGCAAAGCAGAGCTGCTCCCCAGCTTTGCAGGCCCTAGCCTGTGTCATTGCAAGGGTTCTCCCTTCCCAGGTGCAGAACTTTTGTATTTGTCCTTGTTGAATAAAGCATTTGTCATCCCATTCCTTGAGCTTGTCTAGGTCATGATGATTCCTTTAAAAATATATGAATCTATGATTACTTCCTAAACAAAAATAGTCAAATCTATCATGTTTCATGGGAAATATTTCTGTTTTATAATAACTTTTGGGTAGAGTTTGATTAAGGATTCACTACTTAAAAAGCTATGCATGGAATCGCCAAGGTTGGAAGAGATTTTTAAGATCAGTGAGTCCAGTCATTATCCTAACACTGCCCAAACCACCACTAAACCATGTCCCTGACCACCACGTCTACCTGTCTTTTAAATACATCAGGGATGGTGATTCCACCACTTCGCAGGGCAGCCTGTTTCAATTTTTGATAACCATTCTGGTTAAGAAATGGTGAAGAAATTTTCCCAATATCTATCCTAAACCTCCCCTGGCGCAGCTAGAGGACATTTCTTCTTGTCCTATCGCTTGTTACTTGGAAGAAGAGACCAACCCCCATCTCGCTATGCTTTTTTTACTTTTTTGTGATTGCTGCCTGTGCATGTCAGTTCCAGCCAATCTATAAGGAGAACATTATGGTTACAAGATTATGGAACAATGAGAGTATGACTGTGCAGACCAGAGTAACTTGCAAATACTGCTCAGATGCTTTTAGGCTTACTCATTATTTTTATTTCCATTTAGATGTATATTTTGGCAGAACTGACATCCAAATATGCATCCAGTCAGTCACTAAGCAGATCTAAATACTTGCAGCTGTAGAATTTATTAAAAGGTATTTTCAACTGTTCGGTGACAGGAAAACACCTAGTTAGAAAAAACCCAAACATCTTTGTGTTCAGATCCACAGCAAATAGTGTGACTTAAGACAACTGTGTGATAAACACAGTGATAATTTTATCATCAACGTATTTTTTTTAAAGGACTGCATTAATTGGTTCTGCCATCTCTAGCATCAGGATAATGATATTGCAGCTTATCAGTAAAAAATAAACTGATTCCCGTGTTCTAGCCTTTTATCTGTTGTGTCTTGTCTTGTCGCTGGGCACCACTGAGAAGAGCATGACCGCATCCTCTTGACACCCACCCGTTAGATATTTATAAGCACTGATGAGATCCCTTCTTAGTCAGTCTTCTCTGGGCTAAACAGACCCAGGTCTCCCAGCCTTTCCTCATGAGAGGGGTGCTCCATTCCCTTGATCATCTTTGTAGCCCTCTGCTGGGCTCTTTCCGGTAGTTCCCTGTCCTTCTTGAACTGGAGGGTCCGGAACTGGGCACAGTATTTGTATCTTTCAGTTTAATGTTAAAATCTGTAGGTTGTGGGAAAAGTACTCTTGAACCTAATGACTCCCTTTTAGATTTTTAGGTGAATGAGGCCTAATTTAGTGCTAACAATTAAATACATGAAGCTTATCTTTAAGTCTTTAAAAAAGTAGGTGGGATAGGTGCTATGCCATTTTATTACCTTCAAAAATAAATCAGATTGGTTTTGAAGAAATTATGTGGTATGAGTATTACTTCTTGCATAATTAACAAAATGAAAAATTTCATCATTTCTATTTTGGGGTTTCTGACTCTTTCCTTTTTCTGATTTATTAGGTGACTTATTTAAAATCATTCAAATGTTTTTCATAATAGAAGAAAAATGTAGTGTTAAGAGAGCATCAAACATATCTGTGCAGCCAGAACTTTCTCCAAAAATGCTAGTAAAGACTGCTGTAATAACAAAATGAAAATAGGAAATGGGAGAAGTGTACAGTTCAAGATGTGCGTAACAGCGCTGAGTTGTTCTGTTATATTCTGGATAGATATTAATGTAAATGTAAAAGTAATAGGTTTACATTGTATCTAGCAAGCACAAGAGGTGGCAAATACAGCCGGTACAAAACACATAATGGAAGTTCATAGAAAGTATAATGAGAGTTTTCAGGAAGTGTTAGCATTTTTCATTTTAACTTGTGTGTATTTGGGTGTGTTATTTCAGATTTTTCTTTATTTAAGAATTTCTGTAACTGTATGTTTTTAAATTACTAGTCTTAAATTGTATTAGGAAGAAACTTTAAATGAAAAATTGTATTTGTTAAGAAAAGAAGAATTTAGATCTTTTATACCATAAAGGTTATGGGTGAATCTGCCAATTGTAAATAAATAAACATATTAATATTTGGTTACTGAAATTTTTATAATTTTTTTCCTAGGTGAAAAAGAAAACTATAATAATTAATTGAGAACTTTAACTACATCTAGAACATAGTTTCATTTCAGAGGCAACTTTGAGGCATCCTGTTGATTTTAAAGCTAAGCAAACCTAGAAGGGAATCTTGCTGTGTTACATGGTAGTTCAAATTTTTGCTTTGAAGGTATCCTGGTTTTTTTTTCGCATCTGCATTCTCTCTGTAATGTACTTATTTCTCTCACTTTTCCCAACATGGTTTTTCATAAGTATTCTAAGTTTGCTACTCAAAATAGGACTCTTAGGTAGGTCAGCATAACTAACACATGGGTGGTGGTGGTTTTTTTTCTTGTATTTGTAGAAGAGGTGGAGGAAGAGACAAGAAAAGAGAGTGAGGAGGATAAAGAAGAGGAGGCTCACAAAGAAGAAGAGAAACACACAGAGAAAAGTACGTAATGTTAAAACTATTATGCTTCACTGATGGCATGTGAGAAACAGTCATTGGAGTTGGAAGGTACCTTTTGAGATTATCTAGTTCAAATCCCCTCCTCAAAACCAGGTCAACTACAGCAGTTTGCTCAGAACCATGTCCTGACAGATTTTGAGTGTCTCTGCGGAAGGACACTCCACAAACTTCCAGTGTTCCACTTCCAGTGTTTGATCACCCTCACAGTAAAAATGTTTTGGTAGTTTGAATGGAATTGCCTGTGTGTGAATTTGCATCCATTTCTCTCATTCTTTCGCTGGTACTCAGTAGGAGTCTTGCTCTGTCTTTTTCACTCTCCACCCATCAGGTAATTTACACGCATTATAAAAATCTCCCCTAACTGCCTTCTCCAGCTGAATAATGCCAGCTATCATTTCCTCATAGGACAGATGTTCCAGTCCGTAAAACATCTTGGTGGCCCTACACTGAACTCTATCCAGTATGCTCACATCTTTCTTGTATTTAGAAGCCCAGAACTGGACACAAGATTCAGGGTTCAGTCTCACAGCGCTTATCAGAGAGGAATAGTTACCTCCCCTCAACTTGCTGGCCATACTCTTCCTCACGCAGCCAAGGATATTGTTGGCCGCCTTTGCCCACAGGCCACATTGCTGACTTTTGTTCAACTTGATGTGCCTGAAGACCACCAGAGCCTTTACTGCAAAGCTGTTTTCCAGACAGTCATTTCCCATTCTGTACCAGTACATGGGTTTATTCCTACCTAAGTGTAGGACTGTGCATTTTATTTTGTTGAACTTCATAAGGTTCCTGTTTGCCTGTTTCTCCAGCTTGTCAAGGTGACTCTGGCAGTATAACCATCTAATGTAGAAACCACTCTTTCCAGTTTTTTATCATATGCAAATCGCTGAGGATGCCCTCTACCCTATTATCTAGGTCATTAATGAAGATGTTAGTGTTGGTACCAGTATCACTTACTGGTGTATGTTACTAGTGATGAGCTCCAACTGGACTTTCTGCCACTAGTCACAGTCCTTGGACCCAGCAGTTGAGCCCAGTCCATTTTTCTAGGTCAAAAATCATAAATTTGTCTCTGAGGATGTTTTGAGTGTCAAAAGCATAATACTATCCATTGCTCTCCCCTTGTCCACCAAGCCAGTCATCTCATCATAGAAGGCTATCTGGCTGATGAAGCATGATTTTCCCTTGATAAATCCATTCTGACTATTCTCCATCACCACCTTCTTAATATGTTTAGAGGTAATTTCTAGAATTACTTGCTCCATCGTGTTCCCAGGGATTGGGGTGAGGCTGACCATCCTGTGATTCTCTGCATCCTTCTTGCCGTTCTTGAAGATTAGAAGAAAGCAAATGTCTCTCCTGTCCTCAGGAAGCTTCTGCTATTGCCACAACCTTTCAGAGATTGAGCGTGGCCTTGCGGTCACCTCAGCCGGCTCCCTTGGCACTTCTGGGTGCATCCTTCTGGCTTGGACTTGTGTATGTCCAGTTTGTTTAAATGTTAACTGAGCCCTCCTCCACTTACAGCAAGTCTGCCTTTGCTCCAGACTGTCCCACTGGTCACATGGAGCTGGCATTGCTGAAGGCAAGTCTCCTCAATAAAGTCTGAGGCAAAGAAGGCATTGAGTGCCTGGCATTTTTTTGTGTCCTTTGTGACTTCCTCCCCTGCATTTTCCATAGTTTTCCTTTTGCTGCTGGTGTATTGGTAGAAGCCCTTCTTGTTGCCCTTTGTGTCCCTCATCAGATACAGCATAAGGTGAGCTTTGGCATTCTTAACCCCATTCCCACCTACACAATGCCTTTATCTTTCTCACAGCTCACCTGTCCCTAGCAGATGGGGGCCTCCACCCCCTGCAGAGAGTCACTTGCTACTAATGTGTGGTGCTACTGCATGGCTCAGGGTTAGCGTTCTTACTGGTTTAGGATGAAAAAGCTTAAACTGGGGAGAAATGAAACTTTGTAATAATCATAGCATTCTGCAGAAACCTGTTTTTTCAAAGGTTTCTCACAAGCAGTTATATCTAATTGTTCCAGGTGAGGTGTCAAGGAGAAAACGTTCCAAATCTGAGGACATGGATAGTGTTCATTCTAAACGTCGTCGGTACATAGCAGAAGATTATGAAGCAGAACTCCAAGTAAAAATTACAGCCAGGAAGGATGTTGACGAGAAATTACAAAAGGTAGGATGGAAATATAGAGTGAAGAGAGCAAACACGTGTCACGTGGCTTACCATCTTTGAATTAGCCATCCTATGCCACACATTCCTTGTCCCCCCAAACACTACCTCTTTTTTGTGGTTGAAAATTGGACATAAGTCAAGTAACAAAGGTGTCTTAATTCATATAAAATCCTATATAGCCCTACTTTTAAGAGGAGACCAAATACAATTTGAAAACTATACTCCAAGTCTTACATTTGAAATGTCCTAAATATTTGAATTCTTAAGTCTGGTGTGACTATAGATGGAGATTCTTCGCAAAGGAGGTGTTTCAGTGTGGTAAAGGTTTATATATGGTGCGCTTTATTGTGTACCTACCTTTAAAGAAAGTCCATCTCCAAACAGGAGTGCAATCAGCATAGTGTTTTGAAGATTTTTATAGAGCTGTTAACGTGATTGCAGCATTGGCATGTAAAGAAATCTATGGTCTTGAAGAAAAAAAATATTCTACAATTCTTCCCTTAGTTAGTTAGCTTGCATGTGTTGTAACTTAATTACTATAGAATACGGAAAACTGAACCACATATGTTGCTTGTTTGTTTTTGTTTCCTAAGGAAAATAAGTGTATCGAGTAAACTTTGTGGAAATCAGTCTCTTTCCATTTTTAACTTCTGTAAGAAAAGCAATGCAAGACATTTCTGCTAGGGGAAGATGCATCTCAGAAATGAAGTTTTGTTGAGTATCTTTAGTTTCTGTTCTTTGAGTGCCAGTATCCTTCTCAAGAACAGGAAAAGTAAGAGGAAAAATTAATTTGTGTGAACACAGCATTTAATGAAAATATCTTGTTACGGTTCTTTCTATATGTAACAAGGTTTTATAAACTTATTCCAGTGCAATGAAATTAATTTCTTGAATTAATGGCAAAGAAGAACCATTTGTACTTGCCAAAATAGATGTAGAAACTTTTCTTAGATGTGCAGCCATATACTTACTGATGACTATAGATTTATTTGATTGATAGGGCACAGCTGTTGTCACTGTTCTTTTTGTAGGGGGACAGTTGTTAACAGTTGAGAATATTTTTACTGATTGTCTCTCAAGTTCTGGGATTGCATTGTTATTTTTCTTTTTTTCTTTTTTTTTAATAATAATAATTTTGCAGGTTATCCAGAGACTGTTAGAAGAGAAACTTACTGCTTTACAGTGTGCTGTATTTGACAAGACTCTGGAGGACTTGAAAACCCGAATAGAGAAAGTAGAATGTAACAAGAGACATAAAACTGTGCTTACTGAACTACAGGTGAGTGTTTGTGTATTGAACTGCATATTAGAGTCAAATTTAAAATTAGGTTCCTCGACATTTAGTAGTAAGTCACCTGTAGTTATCAGTAGGGAAGCTATTTTGTCTCCACAAAGGGAAGGGGCGACAAGCAGCAGATACTAATGTTGCTTTTGAATTGTAAGATTCTAAATGCCTACTCAGAAAGAGAAAAGCAACCTTTTAGTCATCAAAAAACCCTTGAGCAAGTCTTCCTTCTGCAAACTGATTCATTAGCTGTTAGTAAACTGCTTTTCCACTCCTCTATTCCATGTAGACATTCTTCAAATAAACGTAAAGTATGAAAATATCTAATGCCTCTTATGAAGCCAGAAATTTGCTTAAAAACAGAAAAACACGGAAAGGAGAGGATGATGGCACTGGACTTTGTAGAACATTGAAACAAAGAAACATCATGTAACATTATTCATGTTATTCCCCCAGAAACTAAGTAATTATGTTCTAGCAAGGAAACAAATAGCTAGTGTTGAATGCAGTATGCTTTCTTGCATTCTTTATAGAAATAATGTGGCTGGGGGTGATATGAGGAACATCACAAAAATCAAAGAATTTTGAAGTGACAAGACAATTAAAAGCTTATGTCATAACAGATTCAAACAATCACAGAATCACAGCATTGTTGGAGTGGAAGGGACCTTCTAGAGGTCATCTAGTCCAACTCCCCTGCCAAAGCAGGATTGCCATTTAACTTTTAACATAAAAAAAAAAGTACAGAGTTTGCCAGATGAGTTTGTACTACACAACTCTTCCCCCTTGCTGCCTTAGATATTTTCTGTTGACTTTTTGTTAAGTGCTATCTAACACTCTTTCAGTATACTCATTCATCAGTGTCTTTAGCCATCAACTATGGTGTCAAATTAATAACATCATATAAGGCTGTCAGTGTGTTGATGTTAGTGTACTCAAAATCTAAGCTTATGTGGTTTTGTTATGCAAGGTGCTCCAAAATGTCTCTGCATTGTAAAAGATAGCAGAAATTGAAATACAAATATAATTAAAGGCAGATTATAATTGTAGCTTCATTATGTGCTTGGTAAAATGTGAAAGACGTGAGGTAAGGCTTTTAAATGGACCAGCTCCTTTTAGTTTAAGAAGTTCGGAAATCATGGTATGTGAAACTCACAGATTTTTTTAAAACTTCCATTCTTCTAGGGCTAATCTTGTGTTTTCAGGAGTTCATAAAAGTAATTTAACTCTTCTTTCTGAGCAATAAAAGTACCTGCTTAGAGCAAGCGGCCCAGCTACTGCCTCTAGAATAAGTCAGCCATCAGAACTGCAACCTAGACAGTGCAAATTAGGATCTTGTAATGCTTAGGTAATTAGAGAAGAAATGGTCACCAAATAGTATATTGAGGGAAATACAGTAAGTAAAAGACAAGATTTAAGAATGGTGCTTAAGAAGATAATGAACCTGACACCTGAACATCAAATAGACTAAAAGAAAGCTGACAGTAAGGTGCGTGTGGTGTGTAGTGTATCAGTGAGAGGGAGAAATAAGATAAATGGGGTAAGAGTAGATAATAGGAAAGACAAAAAGGGGTGCATTAACAATGTGGTTGGTACATAATGCATTAAAACAGCCAAATCCTTTCAGTTGCTTTCATTCATGCAAAATACTGCGTGAACCTCTGCAAGATGGATTGTGCTTGTGCAATTGTGAATGGGAAGGAAACTAAGATACCTTGATTGTGATGCATGTGTGTGTCTTTCTGCTGCTCTGAAGTAATACACTTGTTCTGTATTTCAAGGAAGAATAATTTCCCCTGGTATGAAAATAGCCTTTGACTTATGTCTTAATTATGTATATTTTTAGTTTGTATAATTTCTTTGATGGTTCTTGGGGAGGATATTTATGGGTCTGTTTGTTTTCATCTTCTTCCCATTTAGGCTAAAATTGCTAGATTGACAAAGCGGTTTGGAGCAGCCAGGGAGGACTTGAAGAAAAGACAGGAAGTAAGAACTAGATTTGTTATACTTGTTTTTCTGAATTAGTCTGAACTTTGTGTTGAAAAATAAAGAAATTTTATTTGCAGAAAGATGGGATATGGTTGTTCAATTGTGTTCGCAAAGTAGGTTTGTCTTGTTTGATAAGGGCAGTGATATGAAAGAATAATCTTTTAACATCTGTCACACAATTCTGATTTGTACAGAAGGTTCTTTAAGCATTGTTAGTGTGAAAGCACCTTAAACTATGTAAGTAAATCTAATTTACTTCAATATGAAGAGTACAGAGTAAATAAGAGTGAATCCCAGTACCTTGATTTTGGGGGTGGAGGAGGGAGAGGAGAGGAATGGATACAAACAACAGTATTTCTCTGTGTCTAGAGTGAATATTTTGGATTAATTATGGTGAAGGAAGTGGCAGCTAAAAGTCCATTAACATTCAGGAAGAAGTTCTCTTGCTATGAAAACCTGAAGAAAAGAGACTTATTAAAAGGGAGGATGTAGGAGAGGGAGGGAGACAGGCAGGTAGACCAAGGAGACTTTGAGGGGTTGTAAAACATGCCAAGTTCTTTTGCAGTGTTGCCTCTAGGAAATTTATATCTAACACAGAAATGAATGAATATGAAATACAATGAAGGCATAAGTTTGTAAGCTGACTTACAGTTGTTTTGTTATGGCTTTTCTCTCTATCTGTTTGTTGTGGTTTTTTTTAAAGAATCCACCAAATGCACCTCTGTCCCCAGTGAAAGCAGCAAGTGACACTGCAAACACAAACAGTGCAACTTACCGGTAAGCAAACCACATCACTGACCATGTAAAAATTTACAATAGGAAACTTGAGATACCAATCTAATAGATAATCCCTGTACTTTTTTTTAATTAAGGTGCTCTTCCTTTTCCTTCATTGCTCTTAAATTGTAAAATTTTATTTTCTTTCACAGAAGTCATAAATGGACACTATTGAATCCATTCTTAGGTAAACTGAAATGAGTGGTTTCAACGGTTAAAAAAATACTGGACAAAAACGAAAGTTTAATTTCAAGGAAGGGAAAATTCTCATGGTGAAAGGCAAACATGGTGCAAGCACCTAAAAATTTACAAATAATGCTGTATTATTTTTTTTTTAGCAGGGGAATATCCAAAGTTAATCTAGGGGTGGGGGGGGCAGAAAACATATAGGTTTAGAAAATGTCAGTTAAAGGAATAGCCGTAAAATAAGGCTTTTTTCATCAGCATACTGTTCATAATTATACTTAGTGTCGCTCATTGATAAATGCTAACTGAAAATTCATTCTATAGAAATGCTGGCACAGTGAGACAGATGCTGGAATCAAAGAGGAATGTAGGAGAGAGCACACCAGCAACTTTTCAAGCCCCTGTGAATGCAGGTAAGAAAATGCCTGTGGACTGCCAACACACTTAAAGTTTTACTGCTTTCTGTTAAACAAGCAACTAACTGAACAGAGCAAAACTGGGGTTTATGACTATTTTTTTTCTTATATGGAAAGTCATTATTTTAAGCTCCTCTACCACAATCCCAATCTATATTTTTGTAGTGTGCTGTTGTGATTTCCGACACCAGGTAAGGGAAAAAATGTGTTGATTCAGCAAAACCAGAACAATGTTCTCAGCAGACTCCTTGCTGGATATGGCAGCAAAACTTCCAGTCTCTCAGCTGCCAAGAAGTGAAACTTAGGACTCGCAGGCCATTTTTTGTACTTGATCATAATGGGATACTGAGATCTTCCCTTCTACCTAATGGCTACAGAAGTTGAGTGGGAAACTAAAGGAAGTCATAAGCCCCAATTCTTAAGAGAATTAAGTTGAAAAACAGAATTCCTAGATTAGAGTTTCATAGGGAGTGTAGAATCAAAACCACCATTAATTACATTCATTGTAGTCCTACTATCTTTGGTTTTAAAAATAGTTTACCTAATATTGAAGCTGCATTTTTTCCACACAATCATCTCATAGTAGGCATATACTGGCTTTCTATATTCTATTGTGCTCCTGATCTTTAGATTTAATCCTGAAATTTTGTTGCATAACAGCAAGTATCTTCTCTAGCACATTAATCCTTGGTTTCAGTAGAACCTTCTGGATACAGGGGCCTAGAAAAGCTTTTCTACCATTTCTGTAATGAGTGTTTAAAATGCTGTATTTCATGTGTTTTCAACAGTTAAATCTTGGATGTTTCTTCAAACCTGTGTGTGTCATAGTTCCTTGTATATCCTAATTTTTTGTCATTTATCTATAGTTCTTTTAAGCAGAAATACAGTGTTGACTGTATCTTTAATTAAGTCATTGAATCAGAGTGTAGAACAGAAAAAGAGTATCTATGGCCTTCCTTTGAAAAAAAAATTAATCATATACCACATTTTTCATAGAATCATAGAATGGTTTGGGCTGGAAGGGACCTTTAAAGATCCTTTAGTCCAGCCCTCCTGCTGTGGCCCAGGCCATCTTTCACTAGATCAGGTTGCTCAAAGCTCTCCCTAGCCTGACTTTGAACACTTAAGGTGATGGAGCATTTACAGCTTCTTTGGACAACCTATTCCACCACCCTCATTGTGAATTGTTTCCATTTGTTGTGTTGGAGTGAAACTTCCCACTTGGTTCAAATGCTTAACTTCTTTTTGTTTTGGTTTTTTTTGTTGTTGTTGTTTAGTGCCAGCTTCCAGTCTTGCTGCTCCTCCAGCAGTTGTCAGTGGACATTCTAAGCCTCAGACTCCAGTGACCTCCACCAGCTCTTTGACAACAACAGTTATTCCCGCAGCTACCGCAGCTACGGTTGTGGGCACTAACCAAGTGCCCAGTGGCAGCACTCAGTCAGTGTCTGTCTCATTACAGTCTTTGCCTGTAATCTTGCATGTACCTGTTGCAGTGTCATCCCAGCCTCAGCTCCTGCAAGGCCACACTGGGACTTTGGTAACTAACCAGCAGTCAGGCAACGTTGAATTTATATCCGTACAAAGCTCATCTACAGTTGGTAGCCTTACCAAACCTACAGTGTCTTTGGCATCAACTAACCCAACTAAACCAAATAACAGCCCGTCTGTGCCCAGTCCTGGTATTCAAAGGAACTCTCCAGCCAGTGCTGGGTCAATAGGCACAACATTGGCAGTACAGGCTGTTTCTGCTGCACATCCTGTTGCCCAGGCCACAAGGACTACTTTGCCCACAGTGGGTACTTCAGGACTTTATAATGCTACCAGCAGTCGAGCTCCCCTACAGATGAAGATTCCCCTTTCTGCATTTAGTAGTACAGCTCCCATTGAACCACCCACCGTTACAGCGCCCAGAGTTGGTAAGTTGTGCTTGAATGTTGACACTGGGAAAGAAAAATAGTTGTCAAAGGGAAACACAAAACTCCACTCCAGTGGAAATTTATTAGTGTATTTTATTGAGGTGTTTTTTCTGGGTTCCCTTTCTGCTGCAATTGTCAAGATCAAAATCATCTTCAGCATAGATGCATTTCAGCCATTCTTGAAAAGTGTCTCCCCTTAGGAGTCAGCAGTGTGGCTCTGTAAGCTTTGTTTTATTTAGAACTTGATTAATATCATTCCTAGCATGAAATAAGAAACTCCTATTGTACCACGAACAACTTAGTATTTTATTTTTAATACAGCCTCTCAAAATAATCTGACTGCCTTTCTCAGCAAAGACATAATTAAAGGAAAGTGTAATCATTAACTTAATTTTCACAACACTTAAAAAGTAAACAAAATGGGGGAAAAACCACAACTGGATACTAAACTAGTTCCAAAGAAGTAGATTTATTGTATTTAATACAAACATTGTGTGAACACAATGAATGTTCAAATATGATATCTAGATTATTTTAAAATACTTTCCATCTCTGGCCATGATGTCATGATTCTCTGCGCTTCTGATTTTACATACCTTGAAAACTTTTTTTCTAATAGGTCCTCAAGATTTCAAAGTGAGTTGGAATTATAGCAAGTTTCTTATTGGCACAATATATTGTTAAAATGAACTCAAGCAGAGTTTGACATCACAACTAGTTTTATTTCAGTTTCCCACCTCTAAGTTGCCTATGTTAAAATACATCTTCCATGGAGTTGGACAGTTACATACTTTGTGTACTGATTTATTTTTTTTTTTGGCTGGAAAGCTAATCTAGTGGTTTAATACAACATAAAAAGGTTTGTGACAGATCAGGCACAGTGACCAAAGCAAGGACCTATGCGTCCAAAAATGTTTCATTTTCTGCAGTTCACATAGCCTTAGTGTATACCCAAGTGGTTTTCTCACCAGAACTGAAGCACTGCTTTGGGCTAACACTGTTGCTGATGAGCTCTGGTTAAAATGAAAAGGAATGAGAAGGGAAAATTTTAATTTAAATTTTTACATCAAATCCTCAAGCAAATTCTGCTTAAATTGCTAGTGTAGATACATGTTTGGCTTAGCTAATAAGGGTACTCAGTCTCCCTGCACAAATCGTCTCAGTTATATATTTTGCAGTCTGCTTAACCATCCTTTATTCAGTCGAGTTTTTGTACAAAAATGTTGAAAATGGTAACTTTTTTCAGTTTAATATCTTGTCAGTTTACCACCTCCTCGTCAGGAGGAGGATAGGTTGGAGTTATGTTTTGTCCCCAGATAAGCAAGGGAATTTTTCATAAAATATTTTGAATAAACTGTCAGACTTTTAAGGAAGGGAACATGTACGGCTGGAAAGTGTCGTATTGCTTTTCTGTATCTTCAGTTCCCTCTGAAAAATGGTAGTAAACAAGCTTGAACACTTAAAATTGAAAATTAGGGCTGAAAAATGTTAAATGTGCTATGTACTGAATGTTTAGTATCAAACAATTTTGAATATTGCCTCCAAATTTATATAGTGGATAGCAGTATTTAGTACTGATTAGATATGCAAATGAACAATTTCTTGACCCCTCAGAAAACCAGACAAGCAGGCCACCAACAGATACTTCGGCAAACAAGCGAACTGCTGAGGGAACACCACAGGTAGGTTGTTGATTATGTTTCTCTATAAAATTCTAAAGTTACAATCCACAGGAGAAAAGTTCTTTACCTTTATTGCTCTTAATGAAACAATTTTAGTTTCTTTTTTGTGCCATCCTTTCTAGTTTCTGTCCATTTGTATTTTTCTTCTTCTGATTCAGGGTATTACTTGGAGCATGAGCTTCTGATAATCTTTTCAGAAGTTATCTGATGGGGTTTACGTAAGTAGATGAGTTAGTAATTCAGGAGCAAACTAAAAACTTGTCTGATACAACAGAGCTAACATACAAAAGAAAACCCTGCCCAGTTTTTGCCCGAGGGGCTTGAACTTAAAGCTACAAATATTTTGTAAATTATTGCAGCATTCTCATTTCCGCACTAATCCAGAAGTTAATACTTCGTTGCCGTATGTCATAGAAAAAAAAAAGGAAAAGAAACTTTCTTCAGAAATAACTACTTCATGATAAAGGACAACTTGCAGTACTTCTGGATTCCTTGTCTTAAGATTTGTTGAACTTGCTTTGAAATTTAAAGGTTGACATTAAGCTAAGTAAAATTATTCATAATTAATTTTACTTTTGTATACAGATATTTCACAAAGCACCTCATAGTTACATTGTTGTTAACTGGTAGTTATTTTATTAAAGGATATAAAATTAATTTCTTCTAGCCAAGATTCCCACGCTTAATAGTGTTTCAAGGTACAGTTAAATATTAATTGTATTTCAAAGCAAGAAGAAAATATACTGGACAAGATTCTGGTTTTCGCCTCTCACAGAAATAGTCTGGCAAAGATAGCCAGTATTATAAGAGTATAAACTGTGCCTCACTCAACATTTTTACTAAGGCATTTTGTAAAGAATGGTTGTTTGGAACTTCAAAGATACCTGTGGATTATAGCTATTAAAACATTTGTCTGTTCTTGATACATAGGAAATTCAGTACCAGAATGGATGACAGACAGACGGTTTTAAGACTTAATTTTCAATATAAGCTGCATATTTCGGAATTCTTTTTCTTTGGTAGAGCCTGAAACCCGGAAAAGATTTTTGGAAAAAGAGTTTGTGTGTGGTAGTGGTATTTAGCAATGGAAGGTGAGCAGGAGGGAAATAAAAGACACATGATGCTTTCCGGTTTTCAGTCTTCTGTTATAGTGTATGTTACTAGGTTTGCTTTCAGTCAAATCAGTTAAAGCATGTGTAATGCCATGGTTAATAAAGAAGGACCTGATGCATTTTAATTGGCTAGTGAGGTATGGAATTGACATGCCATATCATTTGAAAAATCCAGTTAATGCCACCTGCTTTTTGTTATGTAAAATGCAAAATATTATGTATTACTCCGCACTTCACAGCTCTCAGAACAAAAAGTAGTTCGCTGTGTGCCGTATACCTGTGGCATATTTGATGGTACAACTTTGATCAATTGTTTCGAAAAGCAGTTGAAACAGGAAGAGACTTCATCAGAAAATAAAGAAGCGGTAGAAGCAGCACAGACGAATTTTAACTTCCCCGAGGATGTCCTCTTTGGCTTGGAGGAAGAGGAAGAGGATGCTAAGAGCATCAAAAACACCCACAAGCAGACTGGCTGGGCAGCTAACTTATTAAAACAATGGCTGGCCAAAAATGGCAAGGATCCTAGCTTTGAATTGGTCCCAGTAAGTGAACTCAATGATATCTTAAGAGAGTTTTATTACACAGTAAGGAATCATGATGGAAATACCTACAGTGTGGCAAGCTACAAGTCAATGCGTGCTGGCTTAAACCGGCATCTCAAAATGCCACCTTATAATCGTCAGATTTGCTTAATGAAGGACAAAGAGTTTGCTAGTGCAAACATGGTATTTGTGAGCGTGCTGAAGATGCTGCGCATGCAGGGGAAGGATGAGACTCACCACCATCCTCCTATAGCTGCTGAGGACTTGCGTAAGATTAAACAATCTGGTGTGTTGGGATTGCACAGTCCACTGGCACTCGTCAACAAGGTGTGGTTTGATTTGCAGTTGCATTTTGCCAAACGAGGGAGGGAAATTTTAAGAGATCTGGCTCCAGATGCGTTTGTTGTTGAGAAGGACAAGAACGGGCGTCGGTACGCTATGTTTAGGTATCCTGGCAAAGGAAAAAATGGAGAAGATCCTCATAAAATGGGTAAAATGTATGATATGCCAGGGGACCCAAACTGTCCTGTTTTCTCCTTGGAGCTTTATTTGTCTAAGTTGCCTCCAGAGCCCCCTGCCTTTTACCTGCATCCTTTAAAGCTAACCTCAGAGCAAATGCAAGAGCAGCCTGTCTGGTACAAAAGAGAACCGATGGGTGTGAACTACTTAGGTACCATGATGCCCAGGATAAGTGTGGCAGCCAGGCTCTCTCAACGATATACCAATCATTCTCTCCGAACTACCACCATCCAGCTACTGTGTGAAGCAGGACTGGGGCCTAGAGAAATAATGGCAGTGACAGGCCATCGCTCCGAGTCTGCTATTAGACACTACTGGGGAGCTGCGGAAGTTCGCTACAGGGCTTGGTCAGATATAATGGAGAATAACTCCCCCAATTACCTATTTAGCAAGATCCCAAATGAAGTGATAAAAGAACCGCTATCTGGTGCCTCCACCTCTTCTATAAACCATGTTGTTCTAGAACAAAGGAAAATTTTATTCCCTAAGAAATCTGTGGTGCCACCTGACACCAATTCTGTGACTTTAGTCCCTGAGGGACACCCAGCTCTGAAACCCAAAAGCCCTGTCTTGTTGAACCACAGTTCTTCCAAGGTGTTGCTCCCCAAGAACGTGGCCAGTGGGAACCTAACTGTCAGTCCCCTTCAAGGCTGTTGTAACGAAACTGTCTTTATAAAGCGTGTGATAAAACAAGAACCAATGACTTGATGCTTCTGTAATGGAACTGATTTCAAATGAATTGCTAAAATGGAAAAATAATCAGATTTGTTTTTTCACTTGGTCTACTAACGAAATTTCTTATGGTCTAGTTCAGCAAGAAGTATCCTGTTCGCACTCCTGAAGTGAGCTATGGAACAGAAACTTAAACAGAGCAGGGCTTGGAGTTTGTATGACTTTTTGTGGCAGCTGGGACTCTTTAAGTGGCTGAGCAGAGCTATTTTAAAAAAATGAAAGGGAGATATTGATTTCCACTTAGCTGAAGAGCTATGCTTTCTTCGCTAAGTGCATGGCTTTTACATTTTGTGAAGAGTGTATTTATTATACCGATTGTGCCTGCTGGCACTGATGTAGCATCTTACAAATCAAATACTTGATTACTGAAGAGCATGGAGAAAGTAGAAGCTCAATGAAATAGACACAGATACACTACAAATATATACATATGCATGAAAACACCTGGAATTGCTTGACCACACTGTCACTCTCTGTTCAAATTGTTACCAGACCTACCAGAGGATTTTGCTATTTTTTTTCTTTTCTTTTTTTTAAAAAAAGCCGCAACATTCTTCAGAGTTGATTTTCTCTGTGAGCCGTACAGTTGATTTTTCTCTGTGAGTCCTGTATTGCAGGCCTTTCCTTTTCCAATTTAATATTTCTGGCTAGGATTTCAGTCATTCTGTTCTCCAAAGGCATTATTTGATACAAATGATACTAAAATTAGGATCTCTTCAGTTGTGCATGAAATGGGGAAAACGTTCTCAAAAGAGCTGAGAAAGGTTTATTGCTTAAAAGGCAAGTATTTAGAGTTGAAGTGTTGACTCTGTGCTTATCTTGTGAGAGAATTTTTTGTATTTCCTCTCACCTACCTCTTCCATCACATTTCACGTTGTCTTTGCACTATAGTCTTTGTCAGTACAGTATAATTCACAAGAAGCACATCCTGTTCTTCCCCACCAAACCCTATCCAAATACTATTTGTGGTTTTAACTTCTTTAGATTAGTTCACTACAGTAAACTGATCCTATCATTACATTCTCCATAGGAGGTTTTTACAGGGTAGAAATTCTCAGGATAGTGGATGTGAATTTTGTCAGAGAAACGAGACTGTAGTTTAAAAGGCTGTTTAATGAAGAAAAATTACAAATTACAAAAATTACAAATGAGGAGGGCTAGTGGTAGTTAATTTTTAATGAATCACACTTGAGTATCTAACTCATGGTTTGTCTCTGCTATTCTATGCCATGATTTTCACCAGGATTCTGACAAATAGAGAAATTTTTCTGTAAATAAAAATGGATAACTGGTCATCAGATCACAAATTATGGTAGGTCCGCTTTGGAAGAAGAAACAGTGTAGCATTTACAACTGGTTTCTATCATATTGACCGAATGAAATAAGATTGGTTTCTATCCCTTTGAAATGCATGTGTATATGTGTGTGCACACATGCACCCACAAACACAGTTCATCACGCTGTGCACTTCACCGGAAGTGTCTGTGTTGCTCAGCAGTGGGCAAAATAGAGAAAAATCCCTGCTGAGATGACAAATTGGCAATGATAAACTCTTAATTTTATGGAGAATTTCCTTGCTGGGAAAGACTTTCAAATATTGAATGAGATTCATCTCTTTGTTATAGTCTGAACAGCAGACTTGATGCCTGAACTTTGGAGTTTTTGTCTTGGCTGATAATGTTTCCCTTTGTGGCCTTGGGTAGGTTATTCGTACTTAGAGCATCACATTTCCAGCACAGAGTGTTCCATGTTTCTGATGGATCATGTTAAAGACTAAAAGGTTTAGAAAGTGCTGTATTTATCTTGCAAATTGTGTTTACAGTCACTTTTATTTGCTGTTGTTATAATGATTGAGCTAGTTGATCAGATATAATTGTTAATATAAAAATTACTTCTGCACAATCCTACACTTTCTTAGTTGCAGCATTAACTTATGACATCAATGAGTAGAGGAAGGAAATCATGGATCCAGAACTTCAATTTTGTCAAGCTTAGTTGGAAATGGTAGAGAAAGTAATCCTTTCTAATAGCCAGAAAGAAGAAAAATCAAAAAAACAAAGGGCAAACAGTTCTCAAAATTTAGAATATGTCTAGGATAATTTAAAGTAACATAGATTTCCAAATTTTAGGGATTCATAGAATTCATTTAGTGGGACTGGCAAATCTAATTTCTTGTTTGAAGTGATTTACTCTAAACTTTCACCAAGATGGGTATGTATTGTTTTTTACCCCCCAAAAAATATTCCTGACTTTGTCTCAAGTATTTCTTTATTCTAGCATACTGGCATTGAACATTCATCCTGCAGCAACAAGAAAAGTATGTTGCCAGGAGATGATTCTTTTCTGTTCCCTCTTGCTGCATACTGTGGTCATACTGACCACATGCCCTGCTCTGGTCCTAATTTCATTTAGGTAACTCACTGTAACAGCCTATTGCTAATTGTTTCATTCCTTGACATAAATCTAGTTGGTGATTTAAGTTGAAAAAGGGACTCTTTCGGCCAATCTGGGCATATGTCTGATTCTTTTTAATTATCATTTGGCTTCTAACTTGGCTTCCATTCTGTTGGCTCATAATTGGATATTTTTGGCTTCTCATTTGTTAAATTCCAATTGTGTTGGCACCAAACTATACGATGTCCTTTTACAACCTTCAGTTTGAACCTGATACTTCAAAGCTACTGACTGCAGTATTACTGGCTTTTTTATTTTTGTATGTGAGAAAAAGCATTCCTGGTTTGGGCTGGAAGTATTATTGCTTCACAGTAGGTGGATTCAGTGTTCACTAAGTTTTCTGCTAATATTTGAATTAATTCTAACTAACAGAATTTATTTCTAACCTTCCAGAACTTGAAAAATATTTCTCCTGTTGCCCCTCCCATCCAAAGTGTTAAATGAATCTTTCCTATATGTGTTTCCTTTCTGGAAAATCTAAAGTAGAAAAAGAAAATGGGTGTTTTGCTGCTTTTGAAAAGTGAACCTTGGCTCTGTGTACAGTAATAGGGGCAGCAGAGGGTCTTTTGTTTTAAGCTGTGAGATAAAATTTCAAGTCAGTCCTGTTAATTGCAGTACAGGTTATGTTGTGTGAACATCATGAATTCTATCAAAACCAACATGAATTGGACTCCTTAATGGCAATATCAGCAGAGAACCTCAAACAGCAGGATAACTGAGTGTCTTTTTTCCTTCCCCCTCCCCCCCCTTTCCATTATGTTTCCATTATAGGTAAAGCTTGTTGGTGAACCAACAGGTTAGCTACATTTTGTTTGTCTAAACTTAAATTTAGACTTTAGCTGTAAACATAATACAAAATTGTTAATCTAAATCATTTAAAATTAACTTTAAAAACCTGAATGTAACAAATATACTTTGAAAGAAATTTATGATCTTTTGCTCTTAAATTTTCTAATTAGGCCTTTTCCTAAAATCAGAATATTTCAATTGAACAAAACCCAGCACTTAGCTGTAACCAAGTCAACTAAACTTTTTTTTTTTAATAATGGCTGCCATTTCATTGATTAAATTCCATTTCCTTTGATGGAGATGACTCTGAAAACAGTGGGAAATGACTGACTGGAACCTTTTACAGTACATCCATATATTTAGTTATATATTTAGTTTTGCATCTCATTTTCATAGTGAAGCTTTGGTGCTGGTGCTGTGAATCTGGAACTTAAGTTTTCTGTGCTTTTTCCTGGTAAGTTTGGAAATCTCTGCTGTTACTTCCAGGAGTACTGCAATTATTTTTTATTAAGTTGGCACAGTATCTTACAACATATTAATTTTTTTATTCTTTTATTGCTATTTAAGTAATTCATCCCCACTGTAAGGTACTGTGATCTACACTGTGGGAGGTCTAGAAGGTAAATATTCTTCACTATATGCACTTTTTCTGCGCCCCCTGAAGAGCTCCAATGTGCACAAATGTACACAAATACTGTAAGGCATTGGAATGATGCTTTGAAATTGAATGTATTCTTGGCTTTGTTGTGTGTTTTAGTCTGGTACATCTCTTTGTTATTTTGAGCTATACAACTCTCAATAGTTGCATACTGTTCAGGTCAGTATAGTCAAAGTTTTCAGTAAGCAGCTTGGGCACATGATTTTGCTGTATGACTGCTGCTACTTTTTCAGCCTTCCTCTGCTTCTTGCTCCAAAAAGAATGGCCACAGGGATGTGGGAGGGGGCATCTTACTGTGTTTGTGTTAGTATCTCAACTTCCATTTTTTCCTGGATACACAGAAATTTAAGAGTTCTTACTCAGTCCCAGTCATTTTACCAACAGCTGATCCAGTGCCTCAGGTCCTACAATTGCATTTCTGAAGACATGACAAGCACTTTTAATGTATTGGATAAATATTATTGTTACAGAGGCAATGGCATTTTTAATTATATAAAAAATCTTTAGAATGGTTTTTAAGTATTTTATTATGAATCCCAGTTACAGATACGGGATTTACATATATTATATATAATATATAAATATAGCTATGGTATACTGAGGGGAGTCTATGAAAGCAGCTTTTATTATGTTGTTACATAAAATAACAGTGAAAAAATTTGAATGGGGTTGGATGTGTTAAAAATAGCTGGCATAAAGTCAGTCTGTCAAGAATGATTATGTCATGTTTATTAAAACACCAGGTCAGGTGAATAGTCTTTTCTTTCCTGTTCCCCACTGCAGATGCACCTTATCCTCTATGGAGTAAATATTTTTTTCAGTCTAAATTTCATCTGTGCATTTCACCTTTTCAGCTAGTACTGTTTTTTTAAAAAGAAAAACAACACAAAAATCCACCAGTGTCTTATCCATTTCCCATTGTTTCTGACATGCCTTGATTTGTTCGGTTGAACTACAGTTTAACTTAAGCTATTTTGCTGACTGTTGGAAATTGACCTGGTAAAATGTTAATAAAGTACACTTACAACTCCTATCCCTCTACTTTGCAATGTGTAGCAAACTTTGTGAATGTCTGTTGGGAAACAATGTGAACAAAGTGGATATGTCAGCGTACAATTTATAAGCAGCTCTTAAATCTATATTGTTGAAGCATTATTGATGAATATGTTTCCTTGCATTTCATGGTTTTGTCACTGAAAATAAACATGCATAATTATATATGTAAAACAGGATATTTGATTTTTGTCTCTGACCCTGGGGTTATGTTTGTGCTGTTTAAAATGCAACTAGCTCTCCTCTGTGAGGTGGAACCTTTGCCTGCGACTAATTAGAAATAGCAGGAGGACAGTTTGAAAGTCATACGAGAATGGATTCACTTAAATTTTGTTCCTTACAACAGCCACTCAGTTCAGCTACATGACATCCTGGTGGGAATATTTCAGATAATTTTTTTTAATTCATTTTTTGAAGTGGTTTGTTATTCCCTGAGACCATAGCTGTGTTACCTAAACCACCCTTAGTTACTGAGAGCAGCTTTCAAAAAGTAAATATACTTCTGATTTGTAGGCTCCAATTTGTCATTTTAGAGCAAAAAATTGAGAGGAATATTAAAACAATCTAACTGATGATATCATTACATCAGACATGGATAATAGTTTTTAAAAGCTACATTAAGATAATATGAAAAGTACTGTAAATAAAATATATTTATTGGTTACTAAGATGATCTTCCATCATCCAGGATGGCCATCCCACATAATATTGCTGGGAAATTCTGAGTGGGCTTTGGGGAGACAAGGTAGATGTTTCACCTTAAAAGAGTAAGAACCAGTAAAGGGATGTGTGTGTGCGCATGTGTGCACGTATGTGTTTATTATATACCCTTTTAACTGTTTGATAAAGGAAAAACAAAATCACAGCAGTAGAGAAATACTTTAGGTATTGTGTCAAGTGTTCCTTTATGGCTTTTGGTTGGAATTATGATTGCTAGGGCCTAAAATCAGCATTTTGGGCAATCAGTGTCTTAGCCTTCTTGATTTATGATTCTTATTAATAGGGGTAGCAGAACCAACATCTACTCTTTGCACCAGAGAAATGAGAGGGTATATAATACATAGGGGTTTCTAAGACTGGTTATTCACTTTTTCCATGCTTGCATCATTCTTGTTCTTTAGGAGGTGTTGCACAGTACTGATTCAGAGTAAGGGGAACACGGCAATCTTGTAAATGCAAAATGTAAAATGTCTGTTAATAGTGTTTGAGTATTATACAGGTATGCAGCCACACACTATCAAAACATGTATTGCAGCCCTCTGAAATTTTGTTTGTGCAAACTGTGATCTCAGTAAAACGCTGACTTCATTGTGTTATCATTCACCTTTTTATCTTGGTAAGAGATGACAAATACCTGGTCAAGTAAGTTTTCGTGACAGCTTTGCAAGGCTGGAATAGTTAATTCAATTTTGTGGGAGTTACTTCATTGGAAAAAATAGCGGTTAATGAGGAATAAGTCTTGACATTGAAGCAGTTAATGACTGAAATATGCTCCAAAAGTATTAAAAAATAATTTCCACAGCTGCTTAGATTTATGTTTGAAATCTGTATTTTTGTATATGGATGACTAAAAACATATGGTGGGCCTTATGCGTACAAACACAGTATCACCACCCTTCCCACACACAGAACATATCTTTAACATTGCTCCCCATAACGTAAGAGTGATTTTGCTATTATATAACGCCCTGGTGCGTCATGTATGATTGTGGTGGTGGGATGCTTCATGGATTGTCTGTTTCACGACCCCCAGATTTTTTTCTGTTTTGTTACTGTAGAAAAGGTTAATAAAAAATTGTCTGCACTGTGTCAGTGTGCCACACGTAATCTTCAGAATTTTGATCTTTACTACCCTGGAATTAATTTTTATTTTGCACTGTATTTTTTTTGTTGTTGTTGCATTTTTTCCCCGCATTTTTCACTTCTACGTACTGAAATGTTCCTTTATGAAAAGCAGGTGGCATTACAATGAGTAGCGCTGTTTATGTGATGAACTGAACCGTGGCGTTATATAATACCAAAACCTTTTCTAAATCATATACATCATATGTGAATAGAGAAGTGCATATTCAGAACTTTCTTCAAAATACCAGCATTTACTTCGTGATTTTTCATGTGGTACAATAATGTGCATGTTGGGGTGTGTATGTGTGCTGTAATATAAAATTATGTATGAGGTAACATTTGCTTTTCACTTTGAGTTTTAGAGATTTCATCCCAATTTTCTTCAGTAGTTTGCCGTTAACATATTTACGCTGTGATGTTCTGACTACTTCCTTTGTTAAATTTCACAGTTGTGGTTATGGTGGTAGATTTTCTTAACATTGTGTCTACCATAAATGCTTTGGCCTTTAAATTCAGTCTCTTTCCTTGTATTTGTTTTCCTGATGGAGTCGGAATAGTTTTTTTTCTACACCCACACACGCACTGCTTTTTTTCTTTCTCCTTTTTTTTTTTTTCTCAAAGTTACAAATGATGAATCAACCTGGTTAGCAGCAGTGCTGACATGAAAAAGTTACTGGATAGCAAAGCTAAGGTGGTATTCTTTCTCCCGCTACAGTGTATTTTACAACAGTGTGAAATGGTCTCAGCATGTGGAAGAACATCAAAAAGATAGCAGCCTTTCTCAGTGTCCCTGCTTTTCCATAGGCACCAGAGACAGCCCTGCATTTTATTGCAAGGCTGATTCCTTTTTTATTTCCTTTTATTAATTAATTATTGCCTAATTTGTAGGTTAATTATTAGGTATTGCAGTCAATGATGTGGGATATGATGTCAGTGTTCCAAAAGAAGGAAGAAAGTTCTTAATCATAAAGCACTTATATTGGTTTTATTGCAAATCTTAATTGTGACTTCAGATTCAGGTGACCTTGTTCACTGTGTTTTATGCATTTTTAACATGTTTCAGCATTTTTATTACTTCTAGGAGCTCTTTTTCTATTACAATTTTTTTTTTAATTTCTATAATGTCCATATGGCATTGGTTCTAGAAAGTCACTGTACAATTATTTTCTTCCTCAGGGAAAACTATGATTGCTGCTTTTTCCTGGCACTTCTCCCCATAAGTTTATCAGTACCTCTGTTTTTCAGTACTTTCTTTATTTGTTAAAGAGACTTTTGGGCTTGGGATTGGAAGAAAGCAGATGTTACGTTGTCATAGTATATGCAGTGGAAAATGCATGAAATTCTGAGTATAGATCATTTTTACTAATCTTTTGTAGAAACCCTAAATTACTGTAATTACTGTAATATGAACAGATATTTCATGTAAGAAATAAAAACAAAGACAACTACTAGAAGTTTTCATGGTTAAAAAAGAAAATATTCATATTTTCAGGTTTTTTTTTCTTTTACAGAATAATCAGTACTCTAGATTACTTTTCAGCAAAATTTTTGCAGCTAGTACAACACGTAGAAACACAGATTTCTAATATTAATTCAAGGGAGAAAAATGCACAAATCTGAATAGTTGTGTTCATTTTACACATACTTTTCATTATTGTATCTTCCATATCCATTATAAAGCAGTTCACACTTAACTGATTAAGTGCTGTTCAGAGGAGGTTATGACTTAGCCTCTGTTCCAGGACTTAGAGGTTTCACTCAGGTATTTGAAAGGGATGAGGATTTACTCTTGGGTTTGCCCCTCTTCTGGAATTTTCCTTCCACTTGCTGCTTTCACAAGTTGTGTGCTTGGCGTTAAAATACTTCTCCTTCATACTTGCCAAGTAAATGGGAAGTGCCTTCTCCTTGCCGGGCTGTTTCAGGAAAAACACACAACACTGGGAATAGCAGAGAGCATTACACTACACTCGCACCATCCTTCCATATTTGTGGTGGTGCACGCTCGACTGCTGCTTGGCTTGTAGTTCTCTTTTCCCCTGCTGCCTTTTTTTTCCTCCTCCTGCTTCCTTTTTTCACCTTTGTTTCTGCTCTTAATCACACCTTGCAGTCCTCTTCCCCTACTTCCCCCTAGTGTTTTGCCTTCCAACTCCAAATCGCATGCATCTTCTTGTGCTGGATCTACAGTAGACTTAAGTATGAAATGTTCAGTTACAGGACACATCGTTTTTATGCAAAACATCTTAATTGCAAATGGAAGTTCACCAACCAGATGAATAAAGATGTGACTATATTAATATTAGGAAGTCAGGAAAAGATGAAATTTTATATTTTTGTTGATCTCTTACTAAAAAGAAATTTCGCATTTATTTTTAAAACTGTGACATGTCAGAGCAGGATTAGTTAGGCTTAATTTTTAACTTAATTTGATTTTTTCATTGCATTGTTTTGTGTTAAGATTGTTACACTGCTGTCTGCTATATGAAAGCAGAGGAAGGTTTAAATTGAGACGGCTCAGATACAGTGGTAGTTAACTCGATGGTTCAGTTCATGATGTTGCTACTTCCCAGGTTGTACAAAGTTACTTCATCAGCTATGAATAAAACAGGTCCAAAATGGCAGTGTGAATGACAGGATTTTGGAGGATTTCCACTTACTTGTAGTTTAAAAGCGTATGCGTTAAGATACATGAGCTGTTAAGAAGGATAGAAAAAGGAGTTTGACAGTTTACCTTTCTTCAAAAACTCAGTGTAAATTTTTTTTTTTTTGTTTGATAATTATAAACTACTTAAATGCTGCTGTAAACTGACAGATTTATGGGCCACTTCTGGTTTGTTTGGAGACTGGTGCTCTGGTTTTGACAAACAAAACAGTGGTTTGGGAGGTTGTGGTTATGTTTGTTTTGGTTTTTCTGTAACTGTGATCTTTAAATAGATAGAGATCACTTCGTATTACTGTGGTTATTTTGCTTCTGTTCATGTTTATTTGATATTCTAAAGCCACTGAATCTTGTTACTCAGACTTGCTAGGCAGGATGTGAACTAAAGCACCAGGCATATGTTTTGCGTTCTTATTAAATGGTTTTATTTATTTCACTAGTGTAACTGTGCTGATGAAAAGGTGTTAATGGTTGCATCACCTGCATGTGAGCTCTTCTGCAGAGATCAGCTGAAGCAGGTTCAGGTTTTTGGCTTCCTGCATTTGGAGAAAGCTGAAAACTGGTAGCAGACCAGAATGCCTCGACTTGGCTTTTCTGGATTACCCATTTCTGCCCAAATGCTTGCTGAAATCTAATATTGGGAGCTGGAAGACTTGTGTGAAGGTGGTACATACATGACTGAAAGTCCAAAATCGGGGTTTCCTTTGCCTTCATCAGTGCTGCAAGCCTTGTTAAGCTGGTTTCTAATTTCGCTCAGAGCAACGTGTCTGAATCTCCTCTTCTGATGTGTGACATGGCAGTCTCCTCCTCAGAATCCCATTCCATTCTTCTTACAGAAGCAGTAGCAGTAGTTCTTGTCTAGCCTTCCCTCAAACATAGCTCAGTTGTAAACTGGAGTTTTGCAAGTCGTTGTAGTAACAAAATTTCCCTGAGAGAATTTCTGAGTTTCATAGTTATTATACTCAAAAGGGGTGGGTTTATTTTCTTGATTAGTTGGGCACAGGATTTTCTGAAAACTTGCTTTTGGTGGGGATGATTCCAGATGGTTCCATTTGTAGGTCTTAACCATTCAGGTGGTAAGTGACAACATTCCTATACTATACCCCCCCCCAGGTGGCATTTTCAGTGTTTTGGATTTCCTTAAAATTTTCCTGTACCCCTGAATTTCATTCAGGGGAGACACTAGGGGAATCTAGCTGGGGAGGCTGGGGAGTCAGGGCTTGAGGGTGTGCTGTGTGTGGAGTTACAGCATCTTCTTGGAGTAGCTGGAGTGTGTGCCCTGGGACCGGGTCTGGGGGATGTACCACAGAGGACCTCTCAAAACGCTGCCCTGCAGGTGTGCAACTTCTAGTGTGGGTTGTGGAAAGAACTTAATTACTTCCAAATAGTTCCTGTTGATGAGACTGCTACCAGGGTTGTTTAGTAGAAAACCTTCAATAGTATGGCTAACCACAGGAAGATCTTTCCTCCTGAGAAGTACATGTATGAGACCATGGCAGCTGATGGGATTTGTCATTTAATAGTTGCCTGTTTAACTAATTCAGGATTTTGGCCATCCAGACACACCAAGATAAAAAAGGCATGCAGTGACGCCTGCTGACTTGGAAATTCAAAGAACTTTCTCAACTGGCATGGTTAAATAGGGCTTCAAAACAGCTCTCAGAGAGAGTATTTCTCTAAGGATTTAGATTTCCTTGCAGAAGGAAAATTGAAAGGAAATTACTTCAGACTAAGGTATTTTATAGTGGGGAATAATGCATAGCTTAGTGTTTGGGGTTTTTTCTTTCTCCAGTTCCTTATAAATCTCCCTCTCCATTTTTCAGTCTGCTTTCTTCTGGCAGAGAGACCCATAGTTCAGAAATACTCATCATTGATTGGGAAGATTATGAGGTTGAAAAGAAATGCCTATTGACTTCATGCTAATCAAGTAATCATTGATTATTTGAATGTGGGTTTTAACTTAAGCGTCAAGTGAGTAAATCAGCTCATCACATTCAGAAAACTGAAGCTGGAAAGTCTTTGAAATAAAAATCATTCAACCAAAGAATTCCATGGTTAATAAGATGTTTCTCTCTGTATAGCAAAGATAGAATCCCTATAGAGGTCTCTTCTATCACTTGTGAATTTAAGTAGTTAAGATATTTCCTACTCAAGTTGTGTATCTTGTAGGTTATTAGCAGAATTTCAGCAGCGGCAGCATTAGAACTTAAGGCAAGAAGAAATGAGGTTATAATAATGCATAATGAAGAGATCAGTCATGTCAGGCACTCCAAATTCAGTGACAAATAATTTGGACACAGCTTTTGTTTGCATTTAGTAATCATACCACTTTTCCCTCTCGTCAAAGCGTTGTCTGTATGAGAGTTGTCTTTAGGACCTCCTTAAAGGCTTACTTTTACCCAAATGAAAGGTCATAGAGCAGGTAATCTCAATGTTTAGGCTTTTTGCATTTGCCTGCAGAGAAAAATCTCTAATCTTTGTAGGATTTACCGTGTTGGCATTTGTACAGGCCATGTGGGGTTGATAATTTATGCTTTTTTCCATGTTAATTGTTCAGAGATTTTGATAATTATGTTCCTTTCCTAACCGTTTGTCTGTCCTGAGGAACCTGGTTTGCTCTAATCCATAAACTGGTAGCAGTCCAACAATAAATAATTATCTCTTCCACAAAAACAAAAACCCCTTAATTTTTGCAACAAGTTTAAGGTACTAGAAATTGACATCATTCAAGATTTTTTTTTTTCCCTACAAAATATATTTAAAAACACAGAAATATATAGGATCTCCTCCAGTATTTTTTCCAACACCTAAAGAAAAATGTTGGTTCCCCCCAGTCTGAACGGCCAAGGGGCAGC